CGCTCCGATGTGGTCCTTCCTGGGGCTTGGCTACGCCTTCGAGACCGGCGTGTTGGCGCCCGTTCGGGCCAATTCGTTCGCCTCCGCCTACGCCTCGACAGTGCTGAGGCTGCGCCCCGACCGTCGCCCGTTCGGCCCCTGCGGAAACGTGGCTTTGACAAGGCAGAAGTGACAGCCCAATTCTTCGAGGCGGCCTTCAGATTCGGGTACTCGGACGTTGGTGCCATTGGCTACGTGTGCGACATGATGCTATCTATCTGTTTTGCAAGAACGAGGTCTGGATGTGAAGGCACACATGGACGGTGTCTGCTCCGACGAGAACGGCTTCGACCAGGAGTTCGCAGCGGCGATGGCCGCTTCGTGCTGAGTGTGCGCCGTTCTGCTGACTTCACACTTCTCTAGTATAGCAATTGGAGTTGATTTAGAGGAGGAGGAGGAGGAGGAGGAGGAGGAGGAGGAGGAGGAGGAGGAGAAGGAGGAGGAGGAGGAGCGTTACGACACGAGCTGCGTTTTCCGACGTGCGCCGTGAAGCTCGGCTGCCACGTTTTCGACCGCTTCTAGCCACTGGGCGTCGACATGGAGGAGGTGGAGGCGGTGAGGTGGAGGAGGAGGAGGGTTACGACGACGTTCGTTCATTTTTAATGCACACGTTCGGGGTGCCCTCGTTGCGATTGCTGGAGACAGGGGCCGCGTGACCGCGAAGCGGGTCACTCCCCCGACAGGCCCGCCTGCGGCGGAGGGAGAAGGAGAAGGAGCCACCTCTTGCCCGATGAAGCGGGCGCGACGTGCTCGTGCGAGTCCCCGTTGTGCTGCGGCCAGTTCCTGGCCCCCTCGCCGCCCGCTACAGTGGGCAAGCGCAATGGCTGCCACGCGTTCGGCCGCTTCGAGCCACTGCGCGGCGACATGGAGGATTGGTGGAGGGAGTTGGAGGAGGTGGAGGAGGAGGGGTGTTACGATGACGTCCGCCCATTTCAATGCAGGTCTTGGGTGCCTACGTCTGCCAGTTTTTGGTTGTCACGCTTTGCGGCCGCTTCCAGCCACTGTGCAGCGACATGGAGGAGAGGAGGGTGAGGCGGAGGCGGTGGATGTTGGGGGCTATCTGTATTCGGCAAGTTCTTAGCCACGTCTCGCCCGATGCGTGGGTGAGTACGTGGAAGGCTTTTTCCCGATGCAGTGGGCGAACACGCCGAAGATGACCGCTTGACGGTGACCGTGGCTGATCTTGTTGAGAAGGTCAGCTTCTCATAGTCGACATTGGCGTCTCTCTCTCTCTCTCGGATTGTGCTCGCGGCCCGCCACTCCGGCCTCTCTCCAAGCGTGGGAGCTGTCGCCTTGTGGCATGGGCTGGGCGCCTCTAGCTCATAGCAGCTTCGCGCCCGTGGCTGGTCCTCCGACTGTGCATCTATGATGATTGAGGTGGAGTTGGTGGTGGGTGTTGGAGGAGGAGTTGGAGGAGGTTTCGGAAGAGGTGCACGTCGTCTTGGGCCAGCGGCCGCTTGCGCTCGGCCAGCTTCTGGAGGAGTGGTGGGTGGTAGCAGGAGCAGGTAGGAAGATGGGGGTTCGAGCTGGGTCGACAGCGTGCTAAGCGAGCTGAATGTAACTGGCCTGTGGTTCCTGGCGACTTTGTGGATCGCGGGCGCTTGTACTAGCCCCTTGGCTGCCTGCCTGCTGCTCTTGCCCGCCTGTTTCGGCAGGCCCCCTGACGCCTCGAGCGATCGCTCCCGCGGCATGCCTCAGAAAAGGAGGAGACGGACGACAACGAGCGAAGAGGGAGGAGGGGGGCGGGGAAAGCCAGGATGCTGATGAGGAGGGGGCAGAAGGGACGAGACAGGAGCCAGAGGATAGAGGAACAAGCAACTGAATAAACATAAACATTCGGCGGTCAGCGCGGATTTCTTGGATCTGCGCTGGGCCCTCTCCCTGGCGCGCGGAGTGCGCCAGGGGCGGCGCTGGAGGCGCCGCCAGGGGGGCCCAAGGCAGATCCAAGAAATCCGCGCGGAGCGCTAAAAAGCTTATGCTTATGGCGCTTGAAAGGAGGAGGCAGAAGAGGCAGAAGGATGAGGACGAGGCCCCCTTGTGGGCAAGAAATAAGTCCACATCCGCTGCAGCTTGGAGTTTCGGGCCCCCTTCCCCGGACACCCGAGGCGCAGTGGCTCGATTTCTTATCCATATACACTGCGCCTCGGCCTTTTGGTGCCCCTTCCCAGAAAGTCTAAGCCGCAGTGGATATGGATACACATCTTGCCCGCACCCCTGGCGTTCGGTCGGGCGTGTCCTCCTACAGGCGGATTCGGGACGAGTGAAAAATTGTCAAACATTATCCTGGCGAAGGACCCAACCATATGCACTGGTACCGCAATTGTGAATATCTTCTTCGGTGAAGCTCCCTATGGGGCCACGAAGCGCTGCACTGGGTGGGGGGGAACGCATGCGGACGGTAGCACTGGTGCCGTCGGTGGAGCTCCCTATGGGGCCACGAAGCGCTGTACTGGGTGAGCGAAAATGCCAAATTGGGTGTGTGGGACGCATGCGGGCGGTCGCACTCGGAGCTTCGGTGGAGCTCCCTATGGGGCCACGAAGCGCTGTACTGGGTGGGTGGAAATGCCAGTTTCCAAGACGCATGCGGACGGTCCCACTGAAAGCTTCGGTGGTGATCCATAAGGGCTACGAAGCGCTGTACCGGTTTGGCGAAAATCCCACATTTGGTTTCTGGGACGCATGCGGGCGGTCCCACTGGGGGGTTCGGTGGAGCTCCCTATGGGGCCACGAAAGGCTGTACTGGATGTGCGGGACGCATGCGAACGGTAGCGCTGGGACCTTCGGTGGGGCTCTCTATGGGGCCATGAAACGTGTGAGCAGTGCGCTGAAACGGGTGATGATGATGGTGATGATGGTGATGCTGATGATGATGGTGGTGATGGAGGAGGGAGGAGGGAGAGGAGGAGGAGGAGGAGGAGGAGGAGGAGGAAAATGCGCGGACCGTCTTCTCGAAACGAGGACCCAACACCACAGGATGGTTGGGAAAAGTTACAAACATGTTCAAACATAATTAAGAACAGTTAGCCTGGCGAAGGACCCAACCATACGCAGCTGTGAATACCGCAATTGTGAAAATATTCTTCGGTGGCGCTCCCTATGGGGTCACGAACCGTATGAGGGGTGTGCCGAATTGTGTGATAGGGTACACAACACGAGCGAAAACGAGAGGTCTGAGCATGAAAGCTTGAGCGCGGGCGAGTCTAAGCGCGAGTGAGTCTGATTCTGAATGAATACGCGTGCGAATGATTATATTTGCATGACTGCGAGCATGGAGTCGCCGAATGTAAATGCATACGACTGTGAATGGTTTGGGTCTGCCTGACTCTGGAAACTCGTGACGCTGAGCGTAGCCTCCGCAAGCATTTTCCTGTGAACCCCGACGGCCGCGCCCGCGCGCCGCGACGCCCATGTCGGCACGCCCCACACGAGGATCGCGCCCGCTTCCCCCCCCTTGTTGTCCTTCCTCTTTGCCCGCGCACTCCAAAGTTCAAGCGACGAAGAAATCGGCCCTAGGGAAGCTGTCGGGACCACCAGCTCCCTATGGGGCCACGAAACGAGTGAGGGGTGTACCGACGTGTGCGTGCGGGACGCATGCGGGCGGCGGCACTGGGGCCTTCGGTGCAGCTCCCTATAGGGCCACGACGTGTGAGGGGTGTGCCGAATTGGGTGTGCGGGACGCATGCGGGCGGCGGCACTGGGGCCTTCGGTGGCCGAATTGGGTGTGCGGGACGCATGCGGGCGGCGGCACTGGGGACTTCGGTGGAGCTCCGTATGGGGCCACGAAACGTGTGAGAGGTGTGCCGAATTGGGTGTGCGGGACGCATGCGGGCGGCGCCACTGGGGCCTTCGGTGGAGCTCCCTATGCGGCCACGAAACGTGTGAGGGGCGGGATGTGCGGGACGCATGCGGGCGGCGGCACTGGGGCCTTCGGTGGAGCTCCCTATAGGGCCGCGAAACGTGTGAGGGGTGTGCCGAATTGGGTGTGCGGGACGCATGCGGGCGGCGCCACTTGGGCCTTCGGTGGAGCTCCCTGTGGGGCCACGAAACGTGTGAGGGGTGTGCCGAAGCTGATGACGATGGTGGTTTCGATGATGGCGATGATGATGGTGATGAGGATGATAGTGACGATGATGATGGTGATGACGATGATGAGGACGACGACGATCGTGGTGACGATGACGATGACGATGACGATGATGATGATGATGATGATGATGATGATGACGATGATGGTTGGAGGGAGGAGGGGGAGGAGCGGAGGAGTGACGCGTGGCGCTGTCTCTTCAAAACGAGGACCCAACACCACACGATGATTGGGAAAAAATCGCCCCAACACTATGATTAGACTGTTTTTTGAATCTTCCTCCTGTAGAGGGACAGGCCCGGCTTCATCCTGGCGCCTTCTTTTGAGGGGCAACGATAAGGGGGGACTGCCATAGGGGGGAATGCATCGACCTGGAATCGGCGATACATCGCCGATTGATCGGCGATAGGCCCCCCGATAGCGAATCCGAACCTTCCTGGGCGGGTTGGGGCCATCGGGCCCCTATCGGCGATCAATGGGCGATTTGGGGTCGATGCATCCCCTCTTTTTTGCGCCCTGCTTTTGAGCAGGGACCGACCGTCCCGGCATTCATATAGGCCTACCACGACATGTCCCTAGAACCCAGAAGCGTTCTAAGAACAAAAGCAATATGCTTAGAACACACGCCCGATGTCTTCAACCAAGACAGCCCCCGCCAGAAATGTCCTAAGAGCCCTTCGTGGAAGCCGCACAAGGTTCCGAGAACACTCTTCGGCAGGCCCACAGGCGCACCGGGACGCTTCGCCACTCCTGGCGCCCTCTTTCCTCGGGGGCGGTGCCCGGCGGGCGCCGCGGGCCGCCGCCGGAGGGGCCGTCTCGCACGCCGCCAGTCGGCGGAGGGCGGCCCCCGGGGCAGCGGGCGAGCCCCGCGCGCGGG